TAAAATCTCATTTAATAATTATTCACGTTTTTTTTATAAACACATTTCATAAAATATAAAAAAGAACATGATAATAACATTAAAAAAATAATTTCTTATTAAAAATTTATACCCTTCAATTTCTTATACTATTCATTGTCACAACAAAAAGTACTAACGTGACATTAGCAATTAACAAAAGGGAAATTAATAGAGATGGTCATTTTCAGGCTTTTGATTTTTCTCTTAGCCATTTCTCTCCCCAATTTTCAAAAACATCACTAGGTCCGCAAGTAACACATCCTCAATTTACGAAGGATCAAAATGTAAAAAAAAATCAGGTCAGTAAGTGCAGAGACCAAACCTTCATAAGAAAAATATATACAAGTTTTACATGGAAAACACATCAAATCTTTACAACTTTCAAATAAAAAAACAATGAACTTTTATATAACTTCATTTTTTGGATAAAGACAGTGATAGAATACTCTGTTGCATTAGTAGCGGTAACTGATTACTTTATATCTGAATGCGTTAAGGAGTTGATTATTAATTGAACTTATAGAATCAAAAAAACTTTAAATAATTAGAATTATTTATAAACTTGAAATTAAAAAAGTATATATATTTGTAAGCATTATATAAATATCAATTAAAAAAATAAAAGAAATATTATATTGACATAAAACGCCATGGCAACGAGTCAAGTAACGTTACAGCCCCTCTGAAATATAATCTTGTACTTTTGCTTTGAAATAGGATTACGTTCATCGGGAATAACATAAATGATAGTGATTTCTTTTTATTATTATTATTATAATAATAATATTTATTATAGTAAATAGTAATATATTTTACTTCATTTATTATTTTGATAATTCTTATAAAACTTATTTTGTTTTATCAAATGATTTTTGGGTCGTAAAATACTTGTAATTATCAGTTTTAGAAACTATGTTTTCTAATAATGATTTTTTTTAAAATTTGATCACAAAATTGAAAATAAATTAAGGTACCTTAATTATTCTTAATTTTTATTTATTTAAAATTTATGAATCAAATTTGTTGGAAAAAAAACAAGTTGACTCCTTATAAAACATCATACACACATATATGTGTAGGGTTGAGTTTCGTTGAGAAAGAAAATTATAGTGAGAAGCGTAAGAAGAGATCTTCATCCTTAGATCAAACTTAATTGAATGTCAACACTAATGAGGTGTATCGAAATGCAATGGATCAGTTCCCTTCTAAAGCACACAATTCATGGGTGGATATGAGATTAAAAGTGATCAAGGGTTTAGATCTCTTCTTACACTTCTCACCACAACCTCCCTTCTCACACGATTATCATAGGTGAATATTCAAATGACAACACCTCCATTTTACGATAACGTGATAACACAATTATCACATGTGATAATACACGTGAAGGAACTAGTGGTGTGCGGACGATATCTCCTGCGACTTAGGTCGTGCTAAAGGTCGTTTGTGTCTATGATTTTAGTATAACATGTGATAAATTATAGTATCATATCAAGAACACACTTTATCACATGTGATAATACACGTGAGGGGACTTAGTGGTGTAAGGGAGACTTGGCTCGCAACCTAGATCGCACCAAAAGTCGTCCGCGACTCCACGTCTCTGATTTTGTATCACAGTTGTATCGTATGTGATGGAATATAGTATCACATGTGATTGTCTTAGTAAAAGGGTGTTCTCATATTCTCGTAAAATAAAGATGTTCTCCTTTAAACCTTTCCATATATATATATATATATACATATATATATATAGAGATAGAGAGAGAGAGAGAGAGAGAGAGAGAAATATAGATAGATAGAGAGGCTTAAAGTAAAATAGTAACCAAATAACATAAACGAAAACGGCTAAATCATGTGTCAAAGCGTATGTGATTTTGCATTAATGGTCAACATAAGGGTTTGCAAACGTTAGGCAACATGGTCCTGGGATCTTAGGTTGCAGTCACAGTCACGTGAATCACATGTGATTTTGCACATGATTTTACTGTAAGATAACTTACGATTCGACTGTTTTTTTATTCTCTTATTTAGTTATTGTTCTCATTTGAATCTATTTATCCATGTATGCATGCATTTCTAGTATTAGTTAAATAACTAAAATGTGTTTTAGTAAGAGAATTTATAAATCAAAACCAGAATTATTCTCTTTGAAAGAGGCAAAAGAAGA